CTTTGGCTTTAAAGTACACCCTGTATAGTTAAATTGGGCCCAAAGTACATACTATTTGGGCGCATGGACCCTTAGGCTTGGCCTACTCGCATTGATGAAAACTGAGAATCTGCTCCTCAGACCGAGGAGAAATCCTCGCATTCCTCCAGTAAAGAGTAGAGCGCCTCCGAATCGGCTTATGGCTTAGAGGGGTTTGGATTAAGGGGGTTTAGGGCTTAGGGATTTAGGGTTGGGAGTTTAGGGTTTTAGGCTTGAGGGTTTCAGGCTTTAGGGTTTAGGGGCTCAGAGTTTAGGGGTTTGGGTTAAGGGGTTTAGGGTTTGGGGATTTAGGGGCTTAGGGTTAACAGAGGGCTTTGCGGTTTGAAGGTTTAGGGGATAGGGGTTTGCAAAGGGGTCCAAGGTCTGGGTCTAGTGGCCTGGCGTTTAGGGTTTGGGGTGGGGTTTGGGTATAGGGGTTTACAGAGCTCAAGGGTTGAAGCTGTCGGGTTCGAAGGCTTTAGGGTTTGAGGGCTTCGGCCCGGGCCAGCGTTTACAGTCTTCGTGTTTGCCGGGGGCCGCCATGTGAGAGTCTGAGCTTCCAAGGATTCCACCAAAAACGCTTGTTAGGAGTTTTGAACCCTACAATCCGTGAAGCCAATAAGCCCTATGCACGTGAGGTCTGTTGAAGCGCTCGGACGGGTTTATTGAAGTTTGCAGAATGATTCTTCTACCGTGCATTTCAGTGGCCTGCATGGATAGAACAAGCTTGTGGGGCAGGTTGTAATACAAGTATATAACCGTTAATTAGTTACTCCAACCCACTATCCTATACAGAGCCCTCTAGGACTTCGAGTGGTCGCACAAACCCCGGCGGAGGTTGGAGAAGGTGTTCAAAGGAGAATGCAGAGTGTTGAGGCGATTAGACACAGCTGCTTTTGATCTGGGCTGCTAGCTGTTCAAATCGGCTTCGGGCTTCCATCATTTAGGGTTCAGGGTAATCACCATCCACGCCGACAGTATGTCTCTGGCACTGTCGATGTAATGGCTATGTCTATCAATGTAGCAAGCCTAGCTAAACTTGAATCTTACTCTCCCGGGTGCAAATGCTTCGTCTCATAGCATGAGGCCGTCAGTGCATGGCTGTTTCAGCAGTATAGAAGCCTGGGTAGTTCGTAATAAGAGCCTTTCGTAACCCATATAAGTATGACACTACACCTTCACTATAACCTGCCCTCAACTCCATTCTGATTCTTAAGACATCTTCAGACCCTACATTGGCCCGCCGAACTTGTTCCATCCCCGATTCATCCCCAAATCCGAACATAGACTCCAAGCCATAGGCATCTGCACGGTGGCCGACTAATTATTCGCTGAACCCAAACCTCTAGACAGAAAAACACACCCTAAACCCCCAAGCCCCAAGACCCTGACACCCTGAAGCAACCGAAAAACGTGCCAACAAAATCCTCAACCCCAAAAGGCCCAACACCCAAAAACCCTAAAACCCCTAAGCACAAAAAAACAAAAAGCAAGCCTGGGAAGGTCTTCGCTCTCTTGGCTCGAGCCGAAGATCGCCACCCAAAAACCTGGGGGTTTAGGGGTTATAAGAGATATAGGAGAGTTTCCGAAAGTTAGGGGTACCTTGTTCTGGGTCCTTATAATGAGGATCCTATTACTATTAAAACTCGATACATATGGGTGGTTATCCAAAATAGGGTCCCTCTTTGGGTACCCTGAATACTAGGTGCCGTACTATAATAAGGACCCAAAAAGGGACCATAGTTTTGACAACCACCCATATAGGGGCCTTAAAATTTAGAACAGGGTTTAAGGTTTCGGGTTTAGGGTTTAGGTAAGGTTTCGGGTTTAGGGTTTAGGTAAGATAGGGGCCTTAATAATTAGAATAGGTCCTTTAAAGGGGTCTACAGGCATCTGTAGTCGGGTTCTATGAGATAGGGGCCTTCATAAGTAGACTAGGGTTTTGAGGTATATCACACTGTATACAATAATACGGAGCCACCAACAACAGCAAAGGTAATTATTGAAGCCTCTATGTGTATGGGGGGAGGGTTGAACAGTTTACAGTGCCGGGATTGGGGGTTAAGGCCCTAAGCACCCTTCAAGTTAGTACTTCCGCAGGCCCCTATATTATGCAAAGTCGCGGATGAGAAGGCCAAGGCCCTAGGCCTTCCATAGCCCGATGCGCTCCCACGCAGGATTCTATAGCTGTGTTTTTGTTAAGAAGTTTAACCTCTTCTGCTATAGATCCCTGTTTTGCTAATTAACTTAAAATGAATCCTAAACAAGGACCAAGTACAATTTGGCTGGCTGCCACCGCTCCGTGGCCGCACAGGACCATAAACCTCAAAAGCCTGAGCGCTGTGGCTGGACAGTCCTTCAGTGAAGCATTACTGTTCGGTTCGTACTTGTCTGGCTGTTGAATGTTGAACCTCTTCACTTTACTCACCCCAAACCCTGAACCCAAAACCGTAAAATCATGAACCCCGAGGACCCCAATCAGGCAACCCTCGAATCCCGAACCCTGAATACAACCCCCCTCCCCCCCCTTCCCACCAGATATCCACTTTGTCGAGCAGCGCTCAAACAAGCCTAGTTCTTCCTCGGGGCGTCGGATCGGCGGCTGTCCCTGCAAACGGACTTGCTTGTGAGCTATCATGCGGGGCTTGAATTCCTGATGTAAGGTGGGTTTAGGGGGTTAGGGTGTATGGGGGCTTAAGGTTTCGGGTTTAAGTTTGGGGTTGAGGTGAGGGTGGAGGGTTAGCAGGGATATGATAAGACCAGGGCTTGCGGGTGTCACTACATGGGTTCTTTGAAGGTTTCGAGATGCGCCCCATCAGGGGTTGAGGTCCAAGTAACAGTTTGCTGTGTACCTTTGTGGCCTAAATATCTGCTAGATAGCTACATGGGGCTACTATATTGATACTTAGACCCCGCCGGGAAGGCTCATTCGATTCAAGGAATCTATAAGGGTCTCGGGGCCAGGTGAGGGTATCACAAAACGTATGGGTACAAGGACATGAAGGATTTGGCGTCACTATGATAGCCCTAGACGAGGGTTAGGGCCTAGGGGTTTAGAGTTAGAGTGCATGGGTGTGTCGGAAATCGGCTCACCTCAGTCTTCCACGGGCCCTGAACTTCAACTGAGCCGGTGTACATTTTGCCTTAGGGCTGGCATCGCACACTGCTTAACGCTCCCCAAACTCAAACCCCTGTATACCCTAAACACCTCGCCCCAGCCCCAGTGCTTGCCGTAGCCCCAGTCCTAGCCCTAAATTAAAGCCTAAACCCTAAACTCCAAACTCTATAGACTCTAAACTCTGAATTCTGACCCTTAAACCCTAAAAGCTAATCCTTCAACCGCAATCCAGACACGGTATGGCAATCCCAGGTCCAAAGATGTTGTTCCCTTTGGCTCCATATACCAGGGATCCTTTCAAGGAAGCCTCTCAAGAGTTCTTCCAGAGGTTCCCCCCAAGGTTTCTTATGGTTCTTAGGGTTTAGGGTTTAGGGCTTTAGGGTTTAGGGTTTAGGGTTTTAGGGTTTTAGGGTTTAGGGTTTAGGGTTTAGGATTTAGGGTTTAGGGTTTAGGTTCTACAGCTACAAGGGGCCGATGCACCCGAAAAATGTATAAAACTTGACTTGCTCAAGCCTTAAAGCTGCTATATAGGAGCCCCTTTCAGGCCTAAGCCTACACACACCCCAAACCCTAAACCTAAACCCCTAAACGCTACAAACCCTAAGGCGCATGGAGCCTTAGAGGTCCAAACAAAGGTAGTTCAAGGCTGGGTGCCCGAGATTCTGATGGGGAGATTTCGGCCACAGGAATCGATGCCGGCATGGCAGCAACCACACCCTTAAACCCCTAAACCCTTTAAGCCGAAACCCGCAACCAAAAAGATCCCCGGCCCAAGACCATGAACATTACCTTGACCCTGAGCCCAAATCCCTCACGCACCCCAAAAGAACCCAAACCATCCCAAAAGCCTTGAATTTCCGAACCCAACAGTCTCGAGCCAAAATCCCTAAAGCACCAAAAAGCTCAAAGCATGGAACCCCAAGGGTCCAAGTACCCAATAATTAATCATATACTCTCCGAAATCCTAACCTACAGAACTACTATCCTAAAACCGAGTACCTAAATATTGGGTCCTTTGGACCCTTGGGGTGATTTCATGAGAGGGAACCCACAAGCACCCAAAGCTGCCCCGCAAGCCTGCGACATGGCGCCTGTGCCGCAAGCTTCGAGCCCAAACACCGCAGAGAGCTACTTAAAGGATCATGGGACTTTGTAACTAGGGTTATAATTAGGGTAACTATACTTATAACTACTTATAACCCCACTTAAGGTACTCATAACCTTACTTACTAAGTAAGTCTTAAGTCCGATGATCCTCCAAGTAGGGACGTACTAATTAGAATAGGTTTTGGGTTATTTATTAGTATACATCTATTCATAATAGGGGGTTCATTGATGTTCAAATTCTACCAAGTTTGGGGTTGGCGGCCCTTTGGTGGTATGTCGAAAGGTATAGGGCTTAAGAGGATAACCGAGATTGTTGAGCTTAGGGGCTTAAGGGCCAAGAAGCTTAGGGGGCCAAATGTTGCGGGCTTTACAAGCTCAGAAGGTTCCGGGGTTCGGTTTAAGTTTTGTTTGTTTTTTTTGTTTTTTGCTTCGGGGCCTTGTCCTCCCTGCTCAGTCAGAATACCTGCTTTCGGGGGCTGAAGGTTTAGCTTGTGTGTTGCGGTAGGCAGTAGAAGGCCTTTGAGAAGGTGGGCCCACCCTCTCAGGCTTGGAGATGAAGGCAAAAGTGCAGCACCAAACTCAAGCTGACAGGCCCAAAGGCTCCAGGTACCTTTACAGTAGATACTTAGGCCTTGAAGGGTCCCTATATAGGTACTTTAAGGCCTAAGTATATACTATGTGGGTACATGGAGCCTTGGGGAGGCTACCTCCGGTGAAGTGACGTTGCGGCGGCAGCACTGCTGTTGGTTTTCGCTGCTCAGGTGACATCCCCGCGTTCAGGAGCCATGTCGGCCAGCTCCGTGGCAGATTGACCGGCTTCACCTTCAGACAACCAGCTTTTCAATCTCCTGCTCCATCCTTTGTCCCGCTCTGCGTCATCGTTCCAAACCACGTTGTCTCCGTAGTCGCTTGCGAGCTGAAGCAGCTCCTGAAGCTGGAACAAAGCAGCAAAATCTGGATCAATGTGATGCACGCATTGTATGACCTTGGGGAAAGCAAGATCGTCTTCAAGGCGACCTGTTTTCCTGTACTTCATCATCGCCATGTGCAGCCAGCAGGCTCGGGTAAAGGCCACTGCATGAGCCCAAAACCCGCCGCGCATTCCTATGTATTGAAGCGCTGCCGCGGTGAACGTGTGGAAGGCCGCCATACTCCATGAAGTTCCAAACCTGCGTCTTTCAAACTGTTCCCGAAAATCAGGTCACACGTGTCTGTGCTGTATTATGCTGTGCAGTATCGCAGTGCTCGCTATTGTTCATCACAAAACTGAAACAGGTACCATATGATCAGAAACATGTGCAAACCTTCCGGAGAGATAGTGTTCTGATAGATGAGGCTGGGCCACAGAACAAGAGCAGCCGGAAGAATGCCGCACAGAAGGCCGAGAAACACGATACCGAACCAGAGACACCAATAATCCAAATATGTGTCTCCCTGCTCCCGGGTTTCGGAGTATGATGGCGACACCCCAAGATGAATGCTTCGCGCCTGTGATTCGAAGATCCGCAATTCAGTGTGCCACCGGTAGAGTAGCACTATCTGTGATGCAGCAGGTAGGTGCAAAAGCATTTTGAGCAATATCTTCTCCACGGCCAGCTCCAGAGACGACGCATCCGGATTTTCACGTCCGAGGCGAGCGACGAGCATCTGACCCGCTGCCGGTAAGATACTTGAGCACAGTACGCCACAGGATAGCACAAAAGCCCAGTTGCTGCAAGTAACGCAAAACTCCATAAACTGCGCCAACTCCAAGTCAGCTCTGTCGAGCTGATACATCGCCGTTCCGGGACCTGCCTGTCCGAGCGGCTGTGGCGAAAGAACCGTAAACAGCCTCCATGCAGGGCTTGTTTGAACGATGGAAAATGGCACTCTGAAGGACGTGTAGAATAGAAAGTCGCCCTGGAAAGTTGCGATGTACAGGGACCTTCTCTCCATGTGGTATTTCTTGAGCAGGATGAAAGGGGCACTCAAGAGCAGGAAAACTCGAGGCACTCAAGAGCAGGAAAACTCGAATGGAATCAGCCTGGTAGTAGCACATGCAGGAATCCGTCCTTGCGGGTGCAGCAGCAAACACACCCAGCGCATCAGCTGCGGCCCACAGAGCCATGGTAGCCGTTATGGACTGAATCAGCAAGCACGCCCAACCCACGCCCAATGTTACCGCTGCCGCATGCCCGCGAAGAATCAAGACGTCATGAAGAGCACTGGCAAACGTCCAAGACCAAAGGCAAACCAAAAACATGTTGGCAGCGAGCCCTCTGAACGATGTCTTGCGGTCATCCATGTTGTTGTACATTTTTTTCATCCGATGAGCTTCAGTGTTGGGGTACAAGGCCGGTAGCAGCCCGCCCGGCCCGGCTTCATGACAACGATTGAAAGCGGATACATCAGAGCTCTCGACGGAACTCAGCCACTCACGCAAAGTAGCTGTGCCAGGAACGAAATTCAACAAGTTGCAAGCAGTCAAGAAAATGTCAGTGGCTGTTTTCGTTATGAACCACATCTGGCTGTAACACAAATTCAGGACTGCACTCGAGCTCACCTTGGTACCAGATGATAGTTGCCCTTTCGCTGACGTGCGGATTGACCAGCCTTCGAATACGGCCTAGGTCTCTCAGTAACCCCCTAATCATCAGGTCCCCTTTTTGGCTTCTTTGAAGGAGCCCTAAACCTTAAACCCTAAACCCAAAATGAAAAAGGGCTTGGCTTTACTGACGGAACCCTAAACCCTAAACCCAAAAAGAGAAAGGGTTTGAATTAGGGTACTACAAAACCGAGTGGCCTATGGAGAGTATTGGCTTTATTGACGGAACCCTAAACCTTAAACCCTAAACTCTAAACCCATAAAAGTAAAAGGTATTGGTTTGATTGACGGAACCCTAAACCTTAAACCCAAAAAGAAAAAAGGGCTTGAATAAGGGTACTATACTGCACCTAGTGGCCCATGGAGAGTCCGAGTCTGGCATGGACACCCGCAGCCCCAACACGCCATTCCTACTTGGAGGATCACAGGACTTAGTAAGTAAGGTTATAAATACTCTAATTGGGGTTAGAAGAAAAGTTACCGTAATAGTTACCCTAATTATAACCCTAGTTACTAAGTCCTGTGATCCTTTAAGTAGTCCATGGTTGGGGACAATGTGAATAACCGTACACTTCTACTTGGAGGATCATGAGACTTAGTAAGTCAGGTTATAAGTACCTTAAGTAGTTGGGGTGAAAAGTAGTTATAAGCATAGTTACCCGAATAATAACCCTAGTTAAAAAGCCCCATGATCCTTTAAGTATTCCTTCTTGGGTTTACAGAAGTACCAATAAAAAAGAAAAAGTTACCCAACTGTGCCAAAGACTCTGCACAGAAACATAGTATGGAGCTGTGGAACATTCATGTGCATCTGGAAACAAGCGGATGAAGTAGCATGGCCTTCGGGGCTTGCGCCAAGGATTCGCAAGGAGCTGAAACCTAGTACAGGTAAGGAGAAACATGTAGCAGCTAATGCAACATTTCAGTGTCCCAACTGATATTTGGGCCTCAAAGGTACATACATACTATACGGTTACTTGGACCCTTTGGGTAGATGAACTGCTCTGTTGTAAGGTTGAAAGGGGCCTAAGCGTGGGCCCTTCCCCTAGAATCCTGATTTCCCGCCATTTTTCCCTGCATGCACCCTTACGAGTCCTAGAATCCCCCTCGAAGGCCTAAGGGTCCATATTAGGGACCCATACTTGGAGGATAATGGGACTTAGTAAGTAAGGTCATAAGCACATTAATTGTAGTGTACCCTAATTTCAACCCTAGTTACTAAGTCCTATGATCCTCTACGTCACCCTAAAACCCCCCTCTTATAGAACCCTTACAGATCGCTTTTAAGGAACCCTATATATAGTTACTAAGTCCCATGATCCTTCAAGTGCTTCTGAGGCGACGCGAGATGACAAAAGCCCGGGCCAAGCCTATCTCTTATAGAACCCTTACAGATCCCTTGTAAGGAACCCTTTAAGGAACCCTGATGACAACACTATACTGAACTTAGAACCCTAGCAAAAAATAGTACTTTAGCTGTTTCTTAGGGATTAGAATGACCAAAAATTACAAACTATTTCTAAGTACCCCTAAACCCTAAAAAAGCCCGGGCCAAGCCTATCATTGCATGATGGCAGCTCCTCCGGCCCCAGGGCATGGACTTTCTTCGCAATCTCGGTAAAAGCATAACCTGGGTGGTTGTCAAAATTAGGGTCGCTTTTTTGGGTACCCCAAATACTAGATCCCGTACTATAATAAGAACCCAAAAGGGGCCCCTAATTTTGACAACCACCCACCTCTCTTCTTCCAAAACCGGGCCGAAAGAAGCTCAGATTTTCTGAGATACACAAAATATGAAGGGCCAATAGGGTTCAGGCTTTAGGAGCTTAGGGTTCAGGGTTTTTTTGGCCAGAAAGTTTAAAGTTCTCCCATTGGCTAGGTAAGTAACCAGCTGCGGTGGCCGTGGCTACGGCCACAAGCTGTTGGATTGGGTTTGGGCCCACAAGGCACGAGAACCTCATGAAATACTTGGATTTCCATCTAAAGAACGGACGCTGTTCTCACTACTCATGAAGCTTTGAGCCGCACATACAACGGGCATGCTTAAGCTTTGTAGGCTGGCTAAGTCCGCTCGGCATTTTGGAGCTGCAGCTCTAGTTTGCGATCCTGTATGGCTTTCTGGTAGTGAGGGTCACCTGTCATACCTTTTGTGTTAACCATGTAGACCCCTCAACAGTGGCCCTCATCTCGCCCACGACCCACACCAGAGGTACCTGGCGTCTCAGCCCTTCTCAGACTTGGTCGTCAAGAACCCTAACGTTCAATGTGCCCACACAGCATATACTCAGGCCTTGAAGGGGTTTCAATATACTATACGGGCACATGGAGCCCTGGGGGAAGTAGATGATGAGCTATACACAGTGAAGCAGCCATGCGGCCAGCAAAACAAAACTCCCTCGAGCCTACGCCACGCGCCACATCCAAGACCAAGTCTGCCCCACTGCAACCCCAGACCCCCCCAACTTCAACTCCTCGCTGCCAATACTTGGAGGATCATGGGACTTCGTAAGTAAGGTCATAAGTACCTTGGTTGGGGTTATAAGTATAGTTACCCTAAACCCCAGTTACTAAGTCCCATGATCCTTCAAGCATTGTTATTGAGGCCTGACGGCTTCCTATCCCAACCCCCTAAAGCCTGAGTGCTAAAGACTTCACCATGTCAGCTGCGTCAGCTTCCTAAACCCTAAACCCTAAACCCCAAAGCTGAGAACATAAAGCCGCCACGGCGGCTGCGGAGCCCTGCATGTAGGGTATTTGACCTAACAGGCTCAATGCTCTCGTGTAGCATTTACTTATGCCTTAAAGCCTTAAAACACCCTTTTAAAAGGCCTAAGTGTATACTGTACGAGCTCATGGAGCCTTATGAGGGGCAAGACCCTGTTTGGGGGGTCCTCATTCCAAGACTGATGTTCCTTATTATACCCTAAACCCTAAACCCTGAACCCTAAACCCTAAACCCTGAACCCTAAACTCTAAACCCTGAACCCTAAACCCCAAACCCTAAATAGGAAACTCCGAAGGGGACTCGGAGTTAAAGGATTTAGGGTTTAGGATTTAGGGGTTTAGGGTTTAGCGATTTAGGTGTGCGGGAGTTCGGATGTGCTCGGGTGTGGTGCTCCCTTTTCGAAAGTACGTTCGCACAGGCTCCTCATCACAACGCACCCTGAGGGTCCATGTGCCTATATAGTAGATATTTTAACCTGAAGTTACCTGCATGGGGACTGCTTTAACCCTAAACCCGGCAAAGTGCATACTACCTCCAACTGCCATATAACTTACATATATGTAAGTTCTCATCATAAACTCTACATGGAACCTATAGGGGCCCTACAAAGAAGCGGGTTTGGTACTTCACTGTATGCTGGTACATGGACCCTTGGGGACACGATATGCGGCATGCCGGAGGCACGACAGCCGGCTTCTGAGGAGCGGCGCTAACTTCAGGCTTGACGCGCAGTAAACCTTAAACTGCTTGGGTTTAGGGCTTAAGGTTTATAGGGTCTATGGCCGGTTGAGGGTTTAGGGTTTTTGCTTAGGTTCAGGGCGGTTGGATGTTTGAGGGTGGGGGAAGCCTTTTGCACCCCCCCGCGGTCGAAGAAAAAAACGTCTCCACCTTCAAAGCGGCAGTTTCTCGGCTTTCAGGGTTTAAGGTACAATCCTCACGAGCATGCTCCAGTACAAGATCGTAGAAGTGATCCGTACCAGAACCCTTAAGACCAAAATCCTCAACACCTAAACCCTCAAATAGCCTTCAAGCCCCAACCCCCTCCAACACCCCTCGATCCTGAAGCCCAAAAACCCCCAGCGTGCCCTCACGCGGCTTTACAATTGGGCTCTGCGGGGAACTGCAGAGGTTGGCAGTCCAGCCGCCAAAACTAGGCAAAATAATGGTCCAACACCCAAAAACACCTATTATTCTACACAGTTCGGGGTCCAGGCCATGGGGTTTTCCCTAACCCGAAATCGTTGGGGTTCAGGGTTTTCACAACCAGCGGCCCGATCTTTGAACAGCAACAGCATTTACCCCTACACCCGTAGGAACACTAAAGCAAAGGTCTTCAAGTATGAGCCTAAATCCCTCCTAGAGCTGAGAAACTCCTCAGTGGAGCTCCGCGCGAGGCGACCAAGTCGGCGCACCTTCTTGGTGGCTCTTCGAGGCTTCACGCGTAGCAGACAGGCCTCCGAAAGAGCAATAGGGTTTCCGATATTCAAAAAATTGTAATGTTAATGGGTGCATGGTTTAGTTTGACTAGGGTTGTAGGGCTGACTTACAACTCACAAAGTTTAGGGTTTAGGGTTTAGGGTTTACCTTTACGGCTTGCAAAAGCCCACAAGCCTTATGCAGACCGGT